TTTATCATAAAGCCTTAAAAATAACCCTCTTCGGGTAATCAATTTGTATAGTAATTGAACCACGTGTAGGAATGACTTATAAACACCCCTTTGGTGGGGTCATGAGAATTTCTTCAAAGGTATTTACTTTGTAAATACCTTATTTTAAGTATAGATTAACACGAGCCTGTTATGAAGAAATAACATATCAATTTGATATGTATTCTTTTAAGGAATAATGAAATTATTCCGTGATTAAGTCCACCTTTCAGGAGACTAAAATAAATAGTTATATAAAATATCAATAAAAGTAAATAATCGATAGCCCGAAATCAGCAAATTGCTGATGTCGGGCAGTTTATATATTTATGATTTAGATTTATATGGATTTATCAACCCCCTTTGTATATATTTTAAATACTTAAATAATCATCCCCCAGTTACCTTTTCCCTTATCGGTATCAGGTTATCCCCCAGCAAAGCTGGGGGCTTATCTTGGGGGAGCAGACATATCCCAAGTCGTCAGGCCTTCTGATCCATGTATTAAATAATAAAAGTTATGTAACCCAAATACGCTTAGCGTATTTGGGTCTATTTTACACTTATTTAGATGTATGACCTAGTCTAATATTTAAATAAAAGTCTAATAGCTCGAATACCTCAATTTGAGGTATTCGAGCTTATGTATAAGTATATTTATTTAACTACTATTATTACTAGATAATAAAACAAATAAATACATACTTATCAGATCCAGGTAATTAAATTAAACTGATATAGTTTCCTCCCCCCTTGAATCCAAGGGGGGGTAATTAATGATGGTACTTTCAATATTTATATTGGGGGGATTGATCTAACGATAAACTTATTAGGAACCTTCGGTTCCCTAAAGCAAAGTGTATACTAAATGGCCCACCTTTGGGGGGGTCATGTTATTGCTTTTAAGGTATTTACTTTGTAAATACCTATATTTTATATATGCGATATCTACATGTTTGTATTAATGACATATTTGACCTTATGACTTATTTGTCCGATAAGAGAAAGAAATGAGATAACCCACTCTACGTGTGGGTTTAGATATAGAGTGACTACGCCACTCTTTGAATAGATAAGTAAAGATATGAAATATATATAAATAAGATAAGTACATAGTTAATATATATGACATAATGAAATACTTGACCGGTTATTAAGATTAAAATGTAGGTATATCAATCGGTGACCAACCTTTGTTACGTTACACTTCGTTCACTACGTTCACTATGTTCCACTTCTTAAAGGTTAATCAGATCACACTCAGATATACCATTGATATTTATTGTATGATATATATATATCTATTAGTTATTTAACTTTATAAATGATATATCAATAATGAAGTATAATAAAGATAAGGAAATGTAACCCGGCCAGCCTGCAGGCCGGGTAGAGAGTATCTATTATTTAGTCTATTCTACTTTAAAAGATATGAGATATATAATATTTTGAAATACTAAATAGAATCACGTATATATCCCGGTCTGCCAGCAGACCGGGATTAAGTATCTATTGTTTAAATTACTAAAATAGATTAGATAATCTATATGTTAAATGATATATAAAGATTGAAATAATATCACCCCCCCTGCGGGGGGATATAGCCCGCCCTTCGGCGTGCCATAAACTAATAGATATATAACCCGGTTAGTTTACTAACCGGGTAGAGAATATCAAATGGTTAGATATATAAATAAACTATAAAAAGATAGAAATATCACCAGTTATTAAATATTTAATAACTGGTGATTAAGTATGAAAAGGATTAAGTAGAATAAAGAATAGATACTTAATCCCCGATGACTAAGTCATCGGGGATACATTATGGAAATAAAGATAAAAATATATTTTTTTAATACCAAATTGAAGACTATTTATTAACCCACTATTAGTAAACTAATAGTGGGTAAAAGAGAATAAATGATATATAAGATAAAATATAAAATAAATGAATCAATAATAGAACCCCGACGACTAAGTCGTCGGGGTATACATACGTGAAGAATTAGATATCATATATTTATTGAATCTAAGACTATACCCGGCCAGCCTGCTGGCCGGGGATTAAATACCAAAAGGATTAAAATAAATCATAAAATAGATATCATATCATGTGTGTTATGTCTTCACCGACGACTACGTCGTCGGGACTACATCATCAATAAGATAAAGAAACTCAAAACATATATCTTCTTTAATGATATTTAACCGGCCTGCCTGCAGGCCGGGATGAAATATCTCATTAACTATGTATGTCAATAGATATATCATTAATGGCCCGCCCGTTGGGCGGGCGATATCCTCCCCCGCAGGGGGGAGGACATTAAATATATATTTCTAAAGTAGATAAAAAGATGAAGTATTAATAACCCGAGATTAACAAATAGTAAATCTCGGGTTTAAGGTCAAGTAGTTAAAAAAGTCAAGAAACAATAACCATATCCCCGCCGGCTTTGTCGGCGGGTTATACATATCAAACCTTTAGTATGAAGTCAGAATTTATATATCAAATCAAGTACAGCTAACGTTTTAGCCGACGACTACGTCGTCGGGACTAAATAACCAACTAGGTAAAATATATAATAACATATATATGAAATCTGATATACCCGAGATTAACAAATTGTTAATCTCGGGTGATAAGTTAAGTAGTTAAATACGTAAAATATCTTATCCATATTACTACTCCGACGACAAAGTCGTCGGGACTAAATACTCAAAGAGGTCAAGTAGTTAAATATGTAAAATATCTTATTACTCAAAGAGGTCAAGTAGTTAAATATGTCATCTATCTTATCCATACTAATAATTAGCCCAGGTTTTGCTATTAGCTAATCCTGGGCTTCAGAGTACATATCAAAATTTTTATATCTCTAAAATAAGTATATATCATATTTACTTATATATCAAAAATATAAATAAATTTTAAAAATAAATCATCAATTATAAAAAGGTATATATACCAAAACATTAACCTGAAGTCATATTTTTATATATCGTATTAAGTACAGCTAACGTTTTAGCCGACGACGTAGTCGTCGGGACTAAATTATGAATAAACTTAAGTATATAAAAATTGATATATCAATATAGTCATATATTACCCCGATCAGCAATGCTGATCGGGGATTAAGTAGTTAGAGAAACAAAGTATTATAATCCATATTATCTCCCCGCCGACTACGTCGGCGGGTTATACATATCGTAGTAATTTATCTAGTCGATATGTCAAATACCTAATCAAGTACAACTATTTCTTATCCGACGACATAGTCGTCGGGACTACATCATCGAAGAGGTCAAGTAGTTAAATATGTCAAATATCTTATTCATACTAATCATTAGCCCAGGATTCGCAACTTGCGAATCATGGGCTTTAGAATACATATCTAGTACATATATATATAGATCAATATATATCATATTTACTTCCCCGCCGACGTAGTTGGCGGGGTTATACGTATCGAAGTAATTATATGAAGTCAATTTTTATATATCGTATTAAGTACAGCTATCCTCTTACCCGACGACATAGTCGTCGGGAATAGCATACCTAAAACATATATTTTAAAATCTCATGATTATCATATCTATTTATAAAGTTATATATCATAAAAATAAGTGATTTAATCTTGTCTTAAAAAATATTTTAAATATCCATATTTTGAAAATATAAATAGGATATATACCAAATCAAAGAAAAAAAAAATATCAAAATAATTAAAATAGTAGTATTTAAGGCCCTACCGGGCGGGGCTATTAATCATCTCATTTATATACCTAAATAAGATAATATTTAAAAGGGATATTTACATAGTAAATACCCGTAGAATAAACTACCGCTTTCAATTATTTTTACTTATCGGAATCATAGATTCAAATCATCCTTTCATTTGTTGATCCCCCTGCACTTAAATATCTATATTTATATATTATATTAGTCCACCTTATCCCAAGGGGGTAGATAATTATCTTAGAGTTTACAGCCTTAATGATCCGGGATTACCATATCCAAATTATGTTATATATCATTATCACTCTCCCTTATAATATATTTAAATTATCTTTCCCATTTATCTATATTTCAATTACCTTCCCCTTTTTATCTTTAAATCTATATTCTTTCTTTGTTTCTCATAGGTGAAGTAATGTCATTATTGATATAATATATTTTTTAATATGCAATTAGCATTAGCAGCTAAATACATCGGTGCCTCTATCGCCACTTTAGGATTAGGAGGTGCAGCTATCGGTATCGCTTTAGTTTTCGTAGCTTTAATTAACGGAACTTCAAGAAACCCATCACTTAGAGCCACTTTATTCCCACAAGCCATTTTAGGATTTGCTTTAGCCGAAGCCTGTGGCCTGTTTTGTCTAATGATATCATTCCTTTTATTATACGGAGTTTAAGACAAAATTTGATTTATTCATAGAAAAAGAAATAAATATTTTAGATCTACAAAATGAAAATTGATTAGGTACTTAATCCCCGGCCTGCTTAGCTGGCCGGGGTATGATTTAATATCACATTTGTCCTTACCTGATTTATGTCTTATTTTATCATATCTTTATATGTAGGTCAATTATCGGTGACCAATCTTTATCAAAATAAAGATTAGCCAGGTCACTCTCACATTGACCAATGATAGATTATCTATACAAATATAAATTTAATAGATACTTCCATACCCGGTAAGCAATGCTTACCGGGTTTAGATATCAATATCCATATATGTCTTTATTAACTTTATGTCATTATAGACTTTATACTTATCCAACCTACAAAGTAGGTGAAATAAATCTATTTATATATATCTATATCATTTATCTATGACATTCGATCGGCCCCCACGCGGTGCGTGGGGGCTTATTGCCGCCCTCCGGGCGGCCTTACTTTATCTATGCCCGGAAAACTATATCTATGTCCTTAATCCACATAATATGTAGAAGATTTATTCTACACACCGGTCATCAAAGATGACCGGGACTACATTTTCTATTGACTTTATAACTATAACTATGATATATCTATATAATATATATCCCCCTGTTGTTGTTATCTAATTTTGAGATTATCAAACATCATGATTTATACTCATCACCGGTCATCAAAGATGACCGGGACTACATTTTCTATTGACTCTTTTATTTCAATTCATATATATCTATATGATAACTATGAATAATTATGAAATAGATTGATGGCCCAGCCTAAGGCTGGGCTATAGCCCCCCCTTTAGGGGGGGGCCATTAAATATATAATTTATTGATAAGAGGTTTGATGATAGGAATAAATCTTCTTTCTAATTTAAGAGCTTCTAAATTAATCTCAAATATAAATGCTATAACTAATGTAAATAAAAATATGATTAAAATACTTAATCCATAAATATTATTAGAATATGCACTTACTACATAAGGTAAAATAGAAGATATTTCTAGATCAAAGGGTAAAAATAAAATCGCAACTAAAATAAATGATACACTAAATGCGGATCTAGATTGTTGATACGAAGTAAAACCACATTCAAATGGTCCATCTTTTTCAATATATGAATTAGATGTAGAAATAAAGTAATTTAAAACAATAAGTATTAAAGCAACAATAGGAACTAAAATTAAATAAAATAGAAACATTATAAAATAATTAAGTATAACCCTTCTGAAATTAATGGTAAGAATATAAAGAAACTAATTAATAGAATAGTTGATAATGCAATAGAATAAGCTAAAGAAGGGTTAATGAAAGCCGATACTTTATCAGCCGTCGGCGTAGCTGACGGCGCAAGACTAGTTATCAATATTTTAATTATATTAGCATAATAATATGTTGATATTACACTAAATATTATAATAATACATGTTTCTAATACATAATTATCTTGAAGTGCACTAATTATAACATACAATTTACCATAGAATCCAGGAAGAGGTGGAATACCTATTAATGAAAAGAATGCTAATATTAAACTTAGTACTAAAGTACTATTTTTAATATTTAATTGATGTATGTAAAGTAGCGGAGATCAGATAGACACCGGTGATTTTATATATTGACTAGCAGCTAATAATCCTAAAAATAAAATTAAATGTGTCAATACATATTGTATTATGTAAATATAAAATGAAATATCATAAGTTACTATAGTTAATAATAAATATCCAAAATTAAGTAATCCACTATAAGCTAATATAGTTTTTATATTTACTTGAAATAAAGGTTTATACGCTGCTATACTTAATGATATATAAAAGAATACAATTATTAAATTATGACTAAATAAATTAGCATTTATAAATATAAATGATAAAATAGATATTTTAGCTACTATACTTATATAAGCTGTAATATAAGTAGGAGCATAATTATAAACTGAAATACTTCAACGATGAAGAGGAGCCATACCCATTTTAAATAATAAAGCTATTAATAAAATATCAAAATAATCGAATGAATTATCAAATGAATAGAATATAGCAATATCAGATAAATTAGTTGATCCTGTTAAACTATATATGAAATAAGAAGCTAATAATATAATCGCTGATGCTACTCCTCCCATTAGGAAATATAACAATGATGCTTTTGATGCATTATACGATCTATTATGTAAACCTGTTAATAAATATAATGAATAACTTTGTAATTCAATTATAACATATAATACTAATAAATCATTTACTAAAGGTAAAAGTATTAAACCTATTAAATTAGCTAATACTATTAATGCTAAATAAGGTGATTTCAAATCATATCTATGTATTGATGTATTATATATTAATAATACTATTGTAAATATTAATAATAATACCGTAATTGGAAAATTATATGATGATATATTAAATCAATTATTGAATAATGTGATACCTGATGAGATACCTACTAAATCAAAAGTATTTAAATATAAAAATAATGTAAACCCTAATACTATAGAATTTAATCTATTAATTATTAGAGAATTATTAAAAGTTGAGTAAACTAAAAAAGTTATAAATGCAGTTAAAAGCATTAAAAACATAGATAGAATCGAACTATCATTATATCATCCGTAATAATATGTATTAACCATTATACTATATGTTTGAATACGGTTAACCAGTGAATCGAACACTGATCCCTAGAGAACTATGTAGCAAATAGTTTAGCTGTACCAATAAGCTAAGTTAACCAATACGCATTACATCAGATTCGAACTGACATCTTTTATAGTGACATTATAAGGCTTTACCATTAAGCTAGTAGTGCGATAAACCACCCAAAATATATATATATATTATATATATATTTTGGGTTAAGTATTATGAATCGGCACGATTCGAACGTACATAAACCTAGCTCAAACCTAGGTGACTTGCCAATTAGTCTACAATTCATCTTTCCTATGAATAAATATATATCTCAGATTTTTATCTAAGATTTTAAGTCTAATAACTTAATTACGTTATTTATTTAATAATATTGGTAACTCGTTAAATGTATGGTAATTAGCCGGTTTGTTTAATATTAATTCTAAATCTGATGATCTTTCATCTCTTAATAAATTAGACTCTAGATAATCAGGTGTAACATGTAATTCTACTTCTTCGTTCTCACCGTTTTCTAATTGTATTGAAACATTGTATAATCCAACTATAACAGAAATAATAGACATTATAGAACCTCAACTACTAATCATATTTCAACCAATAAATGCATCAGGATAAGTGCTTATTCTCCGAGGCATTCCGTTTAACACTTCATTTTAATGTTCACAGTGCTTCAAATTATAAATTATTAAAATATGTTAAAATTCAATAATCTATATTTATAGATAAACTTACCATATAAATATATATATAATAAGTAACTGAAGTGAACTAATAAATAAAATTGGATTATTACTTAATATTATAGATTAATAATATTCTTTACGTTTAATCTCTGAAGTAATTAAGATATAAAATCGAAATAACCTGCTGATAATAACAAAATATAATAATATCATTATAATGATAAGTACTCCCCCGGCCAATATTGACAATATTGGCCGGGAAGAGAATATCTACTTATTTATCTTATAATTATTATACTCTTTTAATATTTATTTTTCAGCATTTTGTAAAGTTTATAGGCCTAAACTTGACCTAAGAAATGCATTGGTAAGAATATTATATTAACTGATATAAATAATAATCAGAAATGGATTTCTCCAAGAATACGATTATAATTTAATCCAAACATAGCTGGACCTCAGTAATAATATCCACCAATTAAACCAAATAAGGCACCCATTGATAGAACATAATGGAAATGCTAATAACTCTTTTTATGAGTATTAGTGGACTATTTCTCTATTTAAGATATCTTAAATAATTGACATTTAGTCTCTGAAAATACTTGGTGTATTCTGCTGATGATATATATAACTATTATTATTACTTATATATTTTAATATATATTTGTAAATATTTATTTTATACTTTTCAGCATTTTGTCAATTTTATTTACATGTTTTATGTATTTACGGCCATTTGACCGACTACGTAATAAGTCAAATTAACTTAAGTTACCTTAAGGATTGGACTATAATTTATCATAATAAAGATTATGATTACCTCGTTTAGTCTCTAGAGAAACAAAAGTTTCCACGGTATAATCTTTTAAATAATATAAACTTAAATATCCCCCCATTGGGGGGATATCGCACGCCCAATGGGCGGGCCATATAAGGAACTTATTATTTCGGGTAGTTATTAAATCTATAGAGTAGAAAAGATTCTACCGTTAGCAATATAAATATTACCGATAAGTATAACCCGTCATCATAGATGACGGGTGGTGTATATCTTATCTTTGAGGTATTTAATGACACTTTTTATATCATGGAATGCTACATCTATAGATGCATTTGATAACATTACTCCTGTTAATCCTCCTATTGTAAATAAGAATAAAAATCCTAAAGCAAATAACATCGGTACTGCTAAACGTATTTCTCCACCATATAATGTTGCTCATTGAATATAAATATTTAATCATCTCAGATATAGCTTATTTATATATATCTTATATTTTCGCTCCGCATACTATCCCCGCGTCCTAAGACACAAGAATATTTGATATAACTCAAATATAAAAGAGAATATCTCTTAACCATTACTGGTGATTTAGGATTATACCTTAGGTTTTCATATTAAAAAAAGATATATATATATATAAATATGATATCTACCCCGGTCTATCATATTTATTATAGACCGGGGATTCATTTTATTCTTTTTATAACTTAGAATAACCTGGAGCGTCTAATCTCTACGCTTTTACATATAAATTTCTTTATATGATTTAGTTCGACGATTGTCCCATATATATTTCTTATTATATATATCGGAGTTCCCTCGAGTTTGCCCCATATTATATATATATATTTATTATATATATTGTTTGATCAAATATATGACCTTGCTAAAAGATCAAATTAATCATGAAAAGATTTTAATACCTGTAGGTACAGCAATAACCATAGTTGCAGATGTGAAGTATGCACGTGAATCGATATCTAATCCTACGACGTACATGTGATGCGTTATAATCTAGATTATTTATTTATATAAAATATTAAAATCTAGTGGACTATTTTTTAGATATTTAAATATATCTTATCATATTTAGTCTCTGAGGATACAAATTATCCTGCTAATATAATATAAAGATAAGATTATTACTAAATATTTAGTACTTAACTCTTGATTAGTCTTAGCATTTTTATGATATTATGAAGCCATCAAACTTCAAACTAAGAAACCTAATAAACCGATAGAACCCATAGCATAAAGCATACCAACCTCTCCAAAAATAGGTTTTTTAGAATAAGTTGAAACTATATGTGATATAATACCAAAAGCAGGTAATATAATAATATATCTTATATCTTTATATTTAAATATATATATATATTATATATGTAAATATTAGAGTTAAACTCTACAAATATTCTCATATTTGATGAGACTATTTATTAGGTACATAACTTACCAGGTCAGTATTACTGACCGGGAGTACGTATCTTATTACGTATAGTCTTTGAAATAATTGATATCAATTATCTGCTGATTAATTATTTATATATCATTATTACTTTTAAGTAGATATATACCATATCTTTTTTCAGCATTTAGTAATATAATGAAGCATATATTTTTACTTCAGGGTGTCCAAAGAATCCATAACCTATATTTATAATAACTATTTCACTCTTGTATTATAAATGTCATAAATATGACCTACCAAAATAAAGGTTCCGACTGTACATTAAGCAATTTCATATTTAATCTTTAAATCTAAACTCTAAGATTTTATGATTAATCACCCATTATAGATGCAGTCTGTAGCAATTACTTAAATAATCGACGGTCTGAATTTGAGAAATCTTTAACCGTTCCTATAATGTCGCATATATATTTGAGTATATTTATTTCTCTTTAAGGATTTATTTATAAATATCTACCGAGGTATCGCCCACCTGATAGGCGGGCTATATATATATACTAGGATTAAGATATATTAAGTAAACTTAATATTCGATAATCCCCGGTTGAGTAAATTACTCAACCGGGGATAGCATATCCTTTCAATACACTTTTAAATCATTTTTATACACTTGTTTAATTATCTCTTATAACTTACGTTAAATCTCATCCTTTATTCCAATTCTTTATTTATACCTTTATATAATAAATATATATCTAATTTATTAGTTTTCAATGGATATGTATTATAATAATTTAATATATTTTTACAATTATCTTTAATACATATTTGTCATGTATTTTTGTCGGATAGTTGTACTATTCCTCTTGATTTATCATTATTAAATAATGATAATATATGATCTAATACATATTTATTAGATTCATATTTTAAAGAAAGTATATATTTATTTAATTTAAAATAACTATTTGTTTCTGAAAAACCAGTTAATCAGAAATCATTTAAAGATGGTAATACACAATTATTTTTAATTATTATAATATTTTCATTATTCTTAATTAATTTTTCATTTAATTTAGATATAAATATATTTAATTTTATTAATTTTATTGGTAAAACTAAATTACCATTAAATAATAAAGATAATAAATGAATATCATTTTGTTTATTGATTTCATATTTATATATTTTATTTTTAGATGATTCTAAATGTATATTACCTAGATTTAAATTATCTTTAATATAATTTAAGATATTTAAATCTTTTGATTGTATTATAATACTTAAATCTCTTTTACCTAATTTAAATATCCCATTACTTTCAAAATATCCAATAAATCATTCTATGAAATCTTTCTCCGGTTTATTCTTATATTCATATAAATCATTATATTTATTATAAAAATCATTGAAGTTAAATTCATTATTTATATATATATTATTATATGAAATGATTAAATAAATTGATATTAAATAGAATAAGTGTTCGTATAATATTGGATCACCACCTGCTCCGATTTCGTAGAAACCTGTATTGAAGTTTCTATCTAATAATAATAATGTTACTGCTGCTGTAAGTACAGGTAAAGATAATAATAATAATATAGCAGTGAAGAATATAGCTCATACGAATAATGGTGCATTAATCATATGAATACCTATTGTTCTCATATTTAAAACTGTTACTATAAAATTAATAGCTCCTAATAGACTTGATATAGTTGTTAAATGTAAAGCAAATATAGCAAGGTCAACACTAGGTCCAGAATGTGAACCTATAGCTGATAATGGTGGATACACAGTTCAACCAGTACCGGCACCATTTTCTATTAATAATGAACCTATAACACATACTAATGCTGCTGGTAAACATCAAAAACTAATATTGTTTAATCTTGCGAATGCCATATCTACTGCTCCTATTAATATTGGTAAAAAGAAATTACCAAAACTACCAATTAATACTGGCATTACAAATAAGAAAATCATAGCGATAGCGTGTGCTGTAACTAAAACATTAAAAGCATGATTATTACCTAATAGGAATTGAGAACTACCTGTTGATAATTCTATTCTTATAATTACGGACATACCTGTTGCAACCATTGCTGCAATCATACCATAGATTAAATAAAGTATACCAATATCTTTGTGTGATGTACTAAATAATCAACGTGTTGTGTAATTCATTGTTTTATGCATATATAAAATATATCATATATTTATCGTTAAGTGTATTAACCTTTATTATATAAAACCTGGAATATACCAGATTAGATATTTATCTTATTCATTATATCTTGTATATAATGATACTCATTTTAATTAAATCTTACCTATATAAAATTAATTTAGTTATATGTCTTATTTGATACATCGTCGTGGTTGCCGGCGGCCCTATTAATTTAGAAGCTCTTAAATTAGAAAGAAGATTTATTCCTATCATCAAACCTCTTATCAATAAATTATATATTTAATGGCCCCCCCCTAAAGGGGGGGCTATAGCCCAGCCTTAGGCTGGGCCATCAATCTATTTCATAATTATTCATAGTTATCATATAGATATATATGAATTGAAATAAAAGAGTCAATAGAAAATGTAGTCCCGGTCATCTTTGATGACCGGTGATGAGTATAAATCATGATGTTTGATAATCTCAAAATTAGATAACAACAACAGGGGGATATATATTATATAGATATATCATAGTTATAGTTATAAAGTCAATAGAAAATGTAGTCCCGGTCATCTTTGATGACCGGTGTGTAGAATAAATCTTCTACATATTATGTGGATTAAGGACATAGATATAGTTTTCCGGGCATAGATAAAGTAAGGCCGCCCGGAGGGCGGCAATAAGCCCCCACGCACCGCGTGGGGGCCGATCGAATGTCATAGATAAATGATATAGATATATATAAATAGATTTATTTCACCTACTTTGTAGGTTGGATAAGTATAAAGTCTATAATGACATAAAGTTAATAAAGACATATATGGATATTGATATCTAAACCCGGTAAGCATTGCTTACCGGGTATGGAAGTATCTATTAAATTTATATTTGTATAGATAATCTATCATTGGTCAATGTGAGAGTGACCTGGCTAATCTTTATTTTGATAAAGATTGGTCACCGATAATTGACCTACATATAAAGATATGATAAAATAAGACATAAATCAGGTAAGGACAAATGTGATATTAAATCATACCCCGGCCAGCTAAGCAGGCCGGGGATTAAGTACCTAATCAATTTTCATTTTGTAGATCTAAAATATTTATTTCTTTTTCTATGAATAAATCAAATTTTGTCTTAAACTCCGTATAATAAAAGGAATGATATCATTAGACAAAACAGGCCACAGGCTTCGGCTAAAGCAAATCCTAAAATGGCTTGTGGGAATAAAGTGGCTCTAAGTGATGGGTTTCTTGAAGTTCCGTTAATTAAAGCTACGAAAACTAAAGCGATACCGATAGCTGCACCTCCTAATCCTAAAGTGGCGATAGAGGCACCGATGTATTTAGCTGCTAATGCTAATTGCATATTAAAAAATATATTATATCAATAATGACATTACTTCACCTATGAGAAACAAAGAAAGAATATAGATTTAAAGATAAAAAGGGGAAGGTAATTGAAATATAGATAAATGGGAAAGATAATTTAAATATATTATAAGGGAGAGTGATAATGATATATAACATAATTTGGATATGGTAATCCCGGATCATTAAGGCTGTAAACTCTAAGATAATTATCTACCCCCTTGGGATAAGGTGGACTAATATAATATATAAATATAGATATTTAAGTGCAGGGGGATCAACAAATGAAAGGATGATTTGAATCTATGATTCCGATAAGTAAAAATAATTGAAAGCGGTAGTTTATTCTACGGGTATTTACTATGTAAATATCCCTTTTAAATATTATCTTATTTAGGTATATAAATGAGATGATTAATAGCCCCGCCCGGTAGGGCCTTAAATACTACTATTTTAATTATTTTGATATTTTTTTTTTCTTTGATTTGGTATATATCCTATTTATATTTTCAAAATATGGATATTTAAAATATTTTTTAAGACAAGATTAAATCACTTATTTTTATGATATATAACTTTATAAATAGATATGATAATCATGAGATTTTAAAATATATGTTTTAGGTATGCTATTCCCGACGACTATGTCGTCGGGTAAGAGGATAGCTGTACTTAATACGATATATAAAAATTGACTTCATATAATTACTTCGATACGTATAACCCCGCCAACTACGTCGGCGGGGAAGTAAATATGATATATATTGATCTATATATATATGTACTAGATATGTATTCTAAAGCCCATGATTCGCAAGTTGCGAATCCTGGGCTAATGATTAGTATGAATAAGATATTTGACATATTTAACTACTTGACCTCTTCGATGATGTAGTCCCGACGACTATGTCGTCGGATAAGAAATAGTTGTACTTGATTAGGTATTTGACATATCGACTAGATAAATTACTACGATATGTATAACCCGCCGACGTAGTCGGCGGGGAGATAATATGGATTATAATACTTTGTTTCTCTAACTACTTAATCCCCGATCAGCATTGCTGATCGGGGTAATATATGACTATATTGATATATCAATTTTTATATACTTAAGTTTATTCATAATTTAGTCCCGACGACTACGTCGTCGGCTAAAACGTTAGCTGTACTTAATACGATATATAAAAATATGACTTCAGGTTAATGTTTTGGTATATATACCTTTTTATAATTGATGATTTATTTTTAAAATTTATTTATATTTTTGATATATAAGTAAATATGATATATACTTATTTTAGAGATATAAAAATTTTGATATGTACTCTGAAGCCCAGGATTAGCTAATAGCAAAACCTGGGCTAATTATTAGTATGGATAAGATAGATGACATATTTAACTACTTGACCTCTTTGAGTAATAAGATATTTTACATATTTAACTACTTGACCTCTTTGAGTATTTAGTCCCGACGACTTTGTCGTCGGAGTAGTAATATGGATAAGATATTTTACGTATTTAACTACTTAACTTATCACCCGAGATTAACAATTTGTTAATCTCGGGTATATCAGATTTCATATATATGTTATTATATATTTTACCTAGTTGGTTATTTAGTCCCGACGACGTAGTCGTCGGCTAAAACGTTAGCTGTACTTGATTTGATATATAAATTCTGACTTCATACTAAAGGTTTGATATGTATAACCCGCCGACAAAGCCGGCGGGGATATGGTTATTGTTTCTTGACTTTTTTAACTACTTGACCTTAAACCCGAGATTTACTATTTGTTAATCTCGGGTTATTAATACTTCATCTTTTTATCTACTTTAGAAATATATATTTAATGTCCTCCCCCCTGCGGGGGAGGATATCGCCCGCCCAACGGGCGGGCCAT